AAAAAATCGGATTCTGTTAAAGCAATTCATTGAGACCGATTAATTCAGTATGATTCGACCGAATTTTATGACAAGAGATTGTTTGACACTTTTCTCAGAGTTATATGATTCGTTTGAATATCATAGTAGGAAAAGCGTTCTAACAAAATAGTAATAAATTCTAATTTATAATAGTAATAATCTATACCATAATAATTTCTAACTTCTAACAAGTATTACTAAATATTATTTCATAAGGCTATCAATTCTAAAACTATACCATAATAATATCCAACTTCTAACATGATAGTAATAAATTATAATTTATAACATAATCAGTTTTAATCTATAATACAATAATTTCTAACCTCTAACAAAATAGCAATAAATTCTAACAGTCATTCTAGGGAGCCAACAGTTGGCTCCTTATGGAGCCAACACCCAATTAAATTCCTTCATGTGGGGATGTCCCACATAGAGCCCATGTGGGACATCCCCACATGGAGCAATTTAATTGGGTGTTGGTTCCATAAGGGAGCCAACTGTTGGCTCCCTAGAATTACTATAAATTCTAATTCATAAGACAATCAATTCTAATCTATAATACAATAATTTCTAACCTCTAACATATAATTAATAAATTCTACTTTATAAGATAATCAATTCTAATATATAACATAATAATTTATGTTAATATAATTTTTTTCAAACAAGTATCTAATTTATAATAATATAACTTATACTAATTATACTAATATAAACACAGCTGAATATCATAATATATCAATAACATAATGAATGTCATCAATCACAAACATAATATACCATAACAATTTCTAACCTCTAACAAAATAACAATAAATTCTAACTCATAAGATAATCAATTCTAATCTTTAATACAATAATTTCTAACCTATAACATATTAGTAATAAATTCTAATTTATAAGATAATCAATTCTAATATATAATATAATAATTTATACTAATATAATTTTTTCAAACAAGTATCATTTCTAATTTATAATAATATAACTTATATTAATTATACTAACATAATATGTTATGGTATATTATGTTTGTGATTGATGACATTCATTATGTTATTGATATATTATGATATTCGGTCGCGTTCATACGTTAATTTCGGGTTATGTTTGTTATGCACTTGTTGAGGATACATTTAAAAAAAACATATACAGTTAAAAAAATGATATTATTATAATTAGTATAAGTTATATTATTAAAAATATAAATGATACTTGTTTGAAAAAATTATATTAGTATAAATTATTATGTTATATATTAGAATTGATTATCTTATAAATTAGAATTTATTACTAATATGCTAGAGGTTAGAAATTATTGTATTATAGATTAGAATTGATTGTCTTATGAGTTAGAATTTATTGCTATTTTGTTAGAGGTTAGAAACTATTATATTATAGATTAAAACTGATTATGTTATAAATTATAATTTATTACTATTATGTTAGAAGTTGGAAATTGTTATGGTATATTATGTTTGTGATTGATGTCATTCATTATGTTATTGATATATTATGATATTCAGCTGTGTTTATATTAGTATAATTAGTATAAGTTATATTATTATAAATCAGAAATGATACTTGTTTGAAAAAAATATATTAGTATAAATTATTATGTTATATATTAGAATTGATATAAATTAGAATTATGTTATATAAATTATATTATATATTATAATTATGTTATATATTAGAATTTATGTTATATAAATTATTATGTTATATATTAGAGCTGGAAGAACAATTTTCTATCTACAGCTGGCAAAGAGACTTTGATAAAATCAGTGTTGCAGGCTCTACCAATCTTTGTTATGTCTTGCTTCCTGATTCCTGTTGGTCTTTGTAAGAATATTTGCAGGCTGATGGCAAGTTTTTGGTGGAGGAAAGGGAGTCCCAAAACCAAGGGCTCCACTGGAAATCCTAGGACAAATTGGCCAGGTCAAAGCCTGAAGGGGGTCTGGGTTTTCTTGACATCAGAACAATGAACAGAGCTCTTATTTTGAAACAACTTTGGAGGCTTCTTGACCAACCTGAGTCTCTGGTGTGTCAAGTTCTTAAAGGCAGGTATTTTCTTGACTCTAGTATATTTGACTGGAAATTCTCTAATGGTGTCTCTTGGCTATGGAAGTCTTGGACTTCAGTGCTACCTATGCTTAAAAATCATCTCAACATCATAGTCAGAAATGGGGCTGGAACAAAGCTGGATGATCATAACTGGTTCCAGGTGTTGTGGGTGGTAAACCATCTCTAAGAGTCCAGATTGATGGGCATGAATTTTGGGTTAAAGATTTGTTGATTGCAGCTGGTTGCAGCTGGGATGAAAATCTTGTTAATACTTTGTTTACTGAAGTTGATGCTACTAAGATTCTGCAAATCCAAACTTTGAATCCTAATCTTGCTGACTTGTGGAAGTGCCCCTTTGTTGATAAAGGGAAGTTCTCTGTCAAAAGAACTTATAATATTCTAGCTGTGGGAAATGTGTGTGCTTCTGAGGTGGTTGAGAGCAGCTCCTTAGCTGTGGTAACAAAAAAGCCAGATTGAGGTGTTGGAACTTGAAGGTTCTTAGTAAGGTTAAGCATTTTATATGGCAGTGTTTTCCTAACATATTGCCTGTAAATGTTAACCTGAATAAGAGGGGTCTTGACATGGATGTTTTGTGCAAAATGTGTGGTGAAGCCCCTGAAACCCAGGAGCATGTGCTATTTTATTGTTACAGAGCTGTTAAAGTTTGGAAGCTTGCCCCAGTGCAATGGAACAGAGTCACCCAAGAGCAGCTGAGCTTCAAGCAGTGGTGGTGGTGGATCAGTTCTATGAGTTTCAAAGCCATTTCAGAAGATAGAATCCAACTATCTACCTATATATTATGGTGGCTCTGGAAAGCAAGAAATATCTGGGTTTCTGAAGGGGTTAAGCAACCTGAGGTATGGATAGTAAAAGCAGCTTTGAGAGATTGGATGGATTTTGCCATATCTGGTTCCTGATATCATTAGAGCTGGATTGAAGATGAGCTAGGCCATTGGCAGTGGATTATCTTTGGTTCTGTGTGGTGGAATTTCTCTCTTTGCTGTTGTTGCTTTTGGGCTAGCAGTTTGCCATTGTTTATTAGTTATTGTATATGTATTCTATGTTTCGATTAGGCAGCAGTAGTGCTTAGCCTCTCTGAACTTTTCGGCAGGGTTATCCCTATTGTACATTCCCATTTTATGGTTTATGATATGAGCATTTTCTGTCGTTGGAAAAAAAAAGAATTGATTATCTTATAAATTAGAATTTATTACTAATATGTTAGAAGTTAGAAATTATTGTATTATAGATTAGAATTGATTGTCTTATGAATTAGAATTTATTGCTATTTTGTTAGAGGTTAGAAATTATTGTATGATAGATTAAAACTGATTATGTTATAAATTATAATTTATTACTATTATGTTAGAAGTTGGATATTATTATGGTATAGTTTAGAATTGATAATCTTATGAAATAATATTTAGTACTACTATGTTAGAAATTAGAAATTATTATGGTATAGATTATTACTATTTTCAAGTTAGAATTTATTACTATTTTGTTAGAACGCTTTTCCTACTATAATATTCGCACGAATCATATAACTTTGAGAAAAGTGTCAAACAATCTCTAACGGAATCCGATATTTTTCGTTCAATTTGTTATTTAAATTGGTATTTATGAATTTCAAATTTAGGTCAAAATATTATTTTGTATTTTAAAATTTATTACCAAGTTGAAAAGGAGCGGATTTAAGAAAAAAATGGAACTACAATTTTTAATAGTATCACTTATTAGTATTTTATTAGAGATAATTAGTATTATGTTATATAACATAATAATTAATGAGTTCTAACATAATAATAATAAAATTCTATAAGATAATTAGTTATAATTTATACTTTAACAATTTCTAAATTCTAACTATGAGATATTAAATTCTAATATAACATAAATCTAAATTCTAATATAATGTATATACTATATAATTAAGAATTTGAAAAAAAAAAAAAAATTGACCGGTCGGCCGGCAAAACCGGCCGTGCATGGTGCGGCCAACCGACAAAACTGGCCGTGCATAGTGCGGCCAACCGGCAAAACCGGCCGTGCATGGGCCGGCCAACCGTCAAAAAGAAGGCCGGCACGGCTACGGCCGACATTCGAGGCCGGCCGGCCAAAAAAAAAAAAAAAATTATTTTTATATTAAAAAGGACAAAACTGTCTTTTTGGGGGCGGTATTTAGTAAAAAAAGAGGCGGTATTTAACAACTATCATAAAAAAAAATAACAGAAAAGCCCAACCTCTACCAAATCCGAGGATCGTGGCCAAGCCTCAAATCTAACCAGTAGAAAATTGACACGTGTCAGACCTACAAAACTTCTTAGAGCATCCACAATGCTTTGAGTCTCTTTTTGCATATGTGGCAAATAAATAGACTTAAGTCCATAATGACATGGACAAACCTAAACTAAAAAAACCAAAATCTAT